TTCAAGAAGGAACCAAATTATTACAATGTACATGGAAATTATTGGAAGGATTTTAGTTTATTACTTCGACAAAATATGACTTACATTTACGCAAAATACTCTTCCTGATAGGATTTGAAAATTTCCAGTGAATAAACGCATAGTATAGTATTTTTTTACACATCATAAAGAACAAATACAGCAATAATATTGTTTGTTTAAAACACAATCACGTATAAACACTTCCTCCAATAAAATTTATTTTAACAGCTTCTTCAACGGAATCTTATTTGTGAAGCGAAACGTACTTTCTGCAGAGGTACCTTATTTCTTATTAAGGGTGTATAAAAAATTTAAGGGGCTCGTTTTAATCGCAGCGGATGCTAGAGGGTGAACGCCATCGGAAGTGCCGGGGACCGCCATAACCGTAACTCACGTACCAACATCCGACTGCGTTCAAAAGTGATGGTACATCCCTATATATGCACCTATTTATGTACAAGTGTATCTACATCACTACCTCAACTCCGATTGATGGCGATTAACTTTGAACATAGAACATTAACGTATTCAGGTCACTACTGACAATTTATTGGCCAATTAAAACGTGTTTAGGATGTTGGTTCTTCATTTGAATATTAAATACAGTTGGTTGAGTAAATTATTTATTTTTGTTGCTCAATGTTATTGCAGTTGAAAATTGAGTTTGTGATTTACGTATTTTTTGGTTTTGAGGTTTCAATATTTATTGCTATGAGTGTATTACAAGGCTCATAATTGGTAAGTAAACATAAGTACATATATTTGAACTGAGTCAGTTTCACTCAAAGCAGGTAAAGTAGTGATTAAATTGGTTTATTAGGTACCACGACAAGATATTTACTACCTAACCATGAGTAGTGTCGCGGAGAACCTAACGGGTAACCGGGGCTCCGGCTCGACGTGCAGGAGAAGGAACGGGGTGGTTTTTAGTCAGTAAGAGTCTGACACTCCCTTCCGCCTCACCCAGGCGGGAGCAGTCATTCGATGATTTTCCCCCCTTAAAAAAAAAAAAAAAACCATGAGTAGTGTAGAATAAATGTATAAAAATTATATGAAACCTTATTTTTGGTAATATAAGGTGTAATACGTTTTATTGATTACCCATAAAGAATAATATTAGTGGTACGAGTTCCCCAGCCATGAAAATGCCCTTATTCTTCCCATGGGTGTTGTACGGTACGGCGGCGGGATTTAGCCACAAAATAAGGGCACGGCATGCACCTGTGCAGGCATTAGTACGATTTCAATGGGACTATGAACACGTCGGTTAAATGATCATGAGTCCTCTGTGACCAAGTTATTCATTTCAATTTATACTTTTATATTAAACATTATTTTGTTCAGATCAGTTTGGTCAGATCAATGCGAATAAGTTCGACCCTTTTGCAATGGGATAAATACTATAATATAGTGTGAAATGTTAAATGTAAGTTTCTAGCGACGGGTAATAACCGATTTCAATCCAAAGTCTTCGGGTTAAAATAGATTTTTGCTATTGTATAATTAAAAAAAAAAACTGTTCAAACCCAGATCCATTCAGGGATTAAGATCACTTATTAATTGTGTGGTAAGTCAACTTATGTCTATCTCATAAATAATATCGAACTTGTCAAATTCTTGCAAGTGAATCCAACCAATATATTCAGCCGTACTGAAAAAAAAACATTGGCTGAATAAGCTGAGGGTGAAATTTCCGCGAGTTAAGACTTTTCTTCCGTTTCCTTGGCCGGGTAACGAACTGTGTGCGAATGTGATATTTATGGACTTTTTCGTTCACTCTTTTTCCCAGAACATTATTGCTTAGAGGAGTAAAACGTTACATATCTATAATAAACAGTTTTACTGTTATTGTACGGGGGCATGTAATCCACATTATATACGTCTTATTTATTTTTTAATGGATGGTGTAGTTCAATAGAACTTTGGTACTAATAAGGTACTTAGGAACTAAAATTTTGGACATGAATTTGGAAAAAGTATCGTTGCGTTATGTTCAAAATATCTGTCATGTTTGGTTATAAAAGAGATTTTAACATTTGACTTACTAGTTAATATAAGCATTAGAAAAATGAACAGTGAAATTGATTGAGTAGTGTAAATATAAATATTCAGTCTTGTGATTCTGTTCGCTGTGTCTAAGTATTAACGTATTGAAAAAATAGGTTAAAAGGCCTTAATAACTTTGCTCAACTTGTCTCGGTGATATAAATAAATGTACAGATTAACGTACGACCTTAACAAGTCATAGGTGAAAACTGCTTAGAACCGCCACTATATGATTCTTGAATACTTCTATTGATCATTTATATCATCCTCCGGATTAATCAATTATACATGTAATTTAATCGTGCCATAATTTTCTGAAACGTTAAGTTAATTATAACCAATAACAACTTTCTTATAATTATCTATTTTTAATGTTATTTATTATTAGTTTTGTCATTCGCGTGGAAGCATGGTTCTCCCACGTAAAAAGCTATAAATAAAAAATAACATAATTAGAAAATTGATCTGAACTAACAAAGGAGGTGAATCAAGATGCCTTGTTTTCTATTTTCAGATTACTTATAATATTACCTATTGGTATTAGAAAGTACTTTGAGTAGGTAATAAAACTTTTTCTAAATATTATCATGTTATCTTCATAACTTCTACTTATATTAAATCGTAATTTTCATAATTTGCACATTAGCTTTAGTAGTAAATCAACGTAAATGTTATGTGCTTTTTCAATATATTTGTGCTAGACATTACATTTGCCTTATAAAATATGTTACATTGCAAACATTTGAGTAACCCAGCATACAAGGTCTTATAAAACGTATATTGCATAATAGATTAAACACAATAAAACTGTGGAATGATCTGTCACCAGCGGCGGTATTCCCGAACCGATACGACCGTCAAACCTTAGAGAAAAGAGCGTATTCCTTTTTAAAATGCCGGCAACGCACTTATGACTCCTCTGGTGTTAAGGGTGTACATGGGCGGCGCTGATCGCTTACCATCAGGTGATCCGTCTACACGTTTGCCTCCTAAAAGTCAAAGCATACAAGCAATTATGTGTAATTATTTTTGTGTGACTTCTTTGTCTAAAATAATTTTTGTTGTATTGTTTACTATATTAAGTTGCCACAGTTACATTGAGTCGTACCTTTAGTCATTAGGTATTTAGATAATGATTGTTATGGATTTAAGTTAAATGAGGCTTTAATGGTATTTTTACCTACGTCAAGGCTCAAGGCTTTTCCATGCAGTATTTAATTGTCATGTAGCGCAGGTACTCTGAAGTGGGACCTGACTCATTTCAAAAACTCTCATATCAGTAGGTAATGTGGAACCTAATTTGATGAGAGACCTCCAAGTTTGTTTACTAGTATGACGAATATTCCACTGGTTCATTATTGTCTTTGTTTTCAAGTGGGTTTGTTTTCATGATAAGGTGTTTTGATAAATTATAGATTATTATGAGATATAGTATTGAAGTATGTACTCATAGGTGTGTTGTTTATTAATACAAATGTTTGGTATTAGTAATGTGTGTGTAATAGTCCAGTCACGCGTACAAATAACTATCGATTTTATGTACATACATTGTATAATGTGTTCTTTGACTTGGAAAAAAGAATTCAATGTTGCACGAAAAGGTTTATGATCAAACAATGTGGTGATGGAAGTAACAATATAATTGTCATGGCGGGTTCCGACTTCGTACGATGACATAAGTTATTGTGTTGTCATCGTGTCATAGGACTGCTTTGCTTGGGTTAAAAACACTGAACAATATCTTCTAATTTGTGTTAATTAACTTTGAGCTACTCAGTTAGTAATTGTTATTAAGAGATTAGGCAATCTCTCTCTCAGTCTGCTTTAAATCATTTACTTTTCCTTATCGAATACATCAACACATTCATAAGTAGCGTTAAGCACTAGTTTTGGAACCAAAAACTGCCTAGGTGTTAATGTACGCGAATGGAAACGTTAATTAAATATATTCAACGAAGCTTGTACATAAGAACAGGCACGATATCGTTAGCTTAGTATCGCTTTCTTCCCAACATTTACACCAAACACAATCCAACACATCTGGCGTACGTAATTTTGTTATGAAGAAAAACTTTCTTAATAAGAACGCTGTTTGGTTTTCTATTTTCCTTCATAGCTTTGAAGACGAAACGGTGAAATAATTACTCGTGTTTCTGTCTACTGTTGCCTGATTTGATTTTCTTTTTGCTCGTGTACTCGATAGTTAATCGAGTGCAGTAATTATGTTATTTGTTCGTTCTACGTCTATGAGTGGGTTTTGAAACATTGTGTATTATTGTGATGTATAGTTGATGTACAACTGCCGAGTGGTCGCAAGTGCGACTGGTCTCGCAAGGGGTCTCGGGTTCGATTTTTGGGTGGGGCAAAGTATTACAGGGATTTTTAAAATCTCAGTAGTAGCACGAAGTCTGGAAATGTGCCCGGTATATGGCAATAGGCTCACTTCCTATTACATGGGACTCATAACATAAATAGTGAAAAGTGGGTGTGACATTGTACAGTGGCATTAAGTGCCGGAATGTGCACCTCTGCCTACCCCATCGGGAACAAAAGGCGTGATGATATGTTATGTTATGTACAGTTGTTGAGACATTATGCTTATTACAAAAAACATGTAGGCTCTAATAATATTTAAAACAGAAATGAAACACTGTTTCAGTTCGAAATTCCTAAACTTTAATTTAGGGTAATTGTTTACACTTTTACATTGAGTACTTCAATTAGGTACATTCACTAATTATCGTGCACGATAAGATAAATAACGATTTATCAATTTAGAAAGATAATAAAAAAAACAACGCAGATCTTATAATTCCAAGAATTTGTTGTAGAGTTCATAAATATAAAACGATCACAGTGTCGTATCGAGATGGCAGGAAAAGCTGGATCTTCCCGCACACGTTGAGTTGCATGGGCTCGAGGTCTTTTAGGGATTAGCGGAGCGCATTTGGTGGGACTCCGTGGTACGGATAGTGGTGCGGTGGTGGTGGTGGATGATGGGGTGGTGGTGGGTGATGGGGTGGGGGTTGGTACGGCGGTGGATGATGCGGGTAATGGTGCGGCGGCGGCGGCGGGTAGTGATGTGGCGGCGGCGGCACCACGTGGTTCGGCGGGTAGTGCGTCTCCATACGAATACGATGTCTGCAGTGCGGGGCGCAGTAGGAGCCACACGTGGGCCCGCAAGGAAGAGCATGCGGAGGCGGCATAGCTGGAAGGCAACGTTTCGTTGTTACTAACATTGCAGAGTAAACTAATCTGTTAAAGTAAATGGAATACTTAGATTATTTAGACACACGTCCGCATAAGTTAACATTGAATTATAGGTAGTGAGGACTAACAGGATGAGATTGGATTCAGTCATGTGATCAGATAATAAAATGTTACTTCGAAAAACTCAATCACAAAAGAATTAAAAGCTAAATTTCCAGGGTATGAGGCTACAACCCAAATTAAAGTATGACTGTATGACACACCGAATATCCTAATAAGAGGATGTATCTTAAATACAATCTCTTCGACAATAAACAATATTTTAACAATCGAGAAATCCTTACCTTCAAGATATCACTCCTTTTGTTCACAAAGAAACTGATTACTATAATAAAATAGCTTGTGTACTGCAAGTGAAATCAACAGTGAATGATAAGGGTCCTATCGTTGTACCTATTTATCGTTTTTTTCGTAAGCTGCGTAGGCCCTTATCATTTCAGTCAGATAATACTGATAGCAGAAACGTGACCCCGTAATGACTAATAAGTATTGTTTTGATGAAGAACCGGGATGTGGAATGTTGGTGACGAGTTTGTGCTTGTTATGGTTTGTGAGTCATTTATTTTGAGATCCAGAGAGAGAAGACCACGTCTTTTCGATGGCTTTAAAACTTACTCTTCTTCGAAGACCATATCTCTGAATACACACTAGTTGTGGGATTTGAATCGCTGTGGTTCCCGTACGTCATTATAATTATGGGATATGATTAGGAGTTTTCGTATTGATCCCATAAAAGTGTTTAAAGAATAAAGAATGTTTGTTTAATCATGCATCATTGGTTTGGTAACCTTTTACGGATTTTTTTTATTGTCTTTTTGGGGTCTCGAAGATTTGAACATGATCGAAAGTCTTCTGGCATCCCAGTTAGAACTGACTTAACGAGATATTTAAAAATTGATTGCGACCTTTCTCAGTTCCTTTTTCATTCGTCCGTCATCATTCCAATTTCATTAGCTGTCGCCTTATAATTTTGTTATATTCTGGAATGGAGCCTTGTCCTTTACAGAGACGTTAAAATTGTTATATTTTATAGCATTTTATTACGGACAGTCCTGTAGGCATAGCGGACATATGTCCAACAGTAAGGAATTTTTTATTGGTATTAAAAGTTTTTATATGCTATAACGGCAACCTATTTCTAGTAATTTATCCTATGTAGTGGAAAATTTTGCTGTATATTTATTTTTTACAGGGAAACAACTTACTTTCGATTCTTCAGTCTTGCTAAGTAATAATATCACACCAACTTTTGTCACTTCTTTTTTTATGGAATAGGAGGCAAATGAGCAGACTGATCACTTATGGTAAACGATCACCGTCGCCCATGGACACCCGCAACACCAGAGGAGTCACAGGTGCGTTGCTGGTCTTTTAAAAAGGAATACTCTCTTTTCTTGAAGGTTTGAAGCCCTTATCGGTTCGGAAATACTGCTGACGACAGATCATTCCACAGTTTTCCTGTGCGAGGCAGAAATCTACGAGAAAAACGCACAGTTGTGGCCTGCTAACCATCTATATTGTGGGGATGTGAGATATGCTGTCGTGAGGGTCGATGGTTAAAAAGGCGCGGCAGGTATCAGACCAAACAATTCCTCAGAGCTCTCTCCGTGGTATAAGCGATAGAAGATGCCCAACGATGCTACATCTCTACGCGTTGATAAAGTGTTATGTTAACTTAATGCATAAAATGTGATATATTTGCTAGACAACTATTGTATATGGGGTCATCTACTGATCATAATATATATACATCATAGGTATTTACTAATTGATTACAAATAACAGTACAATAAGCTGTGCGACGTCACTGCGACCGCGCGCACGCTGATCACGACGAAGAGGTTCCTCTGTGACTCGAAACTAGTAGAGCTTTTCTCAGCATACCTACACATGAGTGAACCGATGAATCTAAAGTTAATTCGGTATGTTTCATTAATAAAATGTATTCAGTTAATTGAATTCATATTTTTTTATAAAATCCCTGATTCTGATCCAGCTAACTACTATCATTAGTCCTTGAAAACAGTTTTCTATTGGCAGTCAAAGGCTTAAGCAATATTAGCAGTTTGTTAGTCGTTTTTTTCGACATAGCGTTTAAACCGATGTGTGAAAAAACTTCACTTCTTCATTATCGACATGTTCACACGATTTCGTTCTTTTTTTCTTTTTAAATATAGCTTATGTTCATTATTTATAATGTAGCATCGCTAAAAGAATTTTTCAAATCTGTCTGGTAGTTTCGGAGCCTATTCAATTCAAATAAACAAACAAAAAATCAAATCTTTCCTCTTTATACTATGAAGTGTAGATGCTACATATTAAATTAAAACATTATTCTTAAAATATGGTGTTAAAAGATACTAAGTGCCACCTTCGTAATTCTATTCAATAGCGGTGTGCAAAGCCGTAGGAAGTAATAAGATGGTTTTTAATCCGTTTAGCGAAGTGACTCACAAAGAATTATTCATTTTCCTTATTAAATACCTATAGACGTCAGTAAAAAGTGCGTTTTAATTTCACAAAATGTTATCAGTCATTTTTCTCGCTAAATATCATTAATGTCAAGATAAGATGTTAGCATTTCGTCTACTGCTGATGAAATATATAATTATATTTATCGTATCAAATAAAATGATTACTTTAAAATGTGTATTTTTCTCGTTAACACCGGATCTATAAGGAAAATAAGAAAAGGACAGGTGCAGCCGTTGTAAACATTGTTGGGAATTGGTACAAATTTGGTCTATGCTGGATCTTGTCCGCTGGTCCGTGTCTTTTTAGATTAGTAAAGTTAAATTCTATAGTTCGTAACTTTTACAAAATTACTGCATTATAGAAGCAAGTAGTATGCTAGAAGTAAGTAGGTATCTGATGACAAAGATAGGCTCTCTGAATATTGATACAGCCATGTAAACCGTTGATAATAATGTACATCCTCCCAGTTTTCGGGGTTAACGACATTAATGTAATCAAATTCAACGATCTGGACAGAGAGCTAATAATCATATTAGTTATGTAATAACTTTTAACACAAAAATGCTTTTTCAAACTTCCATAAATTTCACTAGTCAAAAATGTGTCCAAATAGCAGAATAACGAAATTAATGTGGTAAAATTCACAAAAAACAAAACTATGAATTTTAATGAAAAGTTATTAATCAATTTGATGTAGATTCTTCTTACACATAATTCTTAGTCTTAGTTTATTTTCACCCTTTGTGACATTATATATGTCTGTTTTTTGACGTTATTCTTTCAATATTATTCGAGTTATCCATGACATTTTTTTCCACGGTAGTATATGAAGGATGTAGACAAATATTATTTTAGAACTAATAACTAATATCTCTAAACATGAATTACTTATTCAAATTGTCGAATATTTTGTAATCTGCATCGATAAATATAACTTATCATAAATTACCTATTCTTAAACGATAATAAGTGGTTGATTTATGAAATGGCTTTGATTACAAAAAGGCGTTATATGTAGAACAAAAACAGTTTCCCAAAAATATCAAACACTAAAATGATGTATTAAATTAATTACAAACACGTGACGTGTTCTGGTCTGGCTATACTATAACTATTTGTGTTATGGCCGGGACATTCATAAAACCTGATATCGATTTCTCGGATATCGATGAAAGATAAGCCAACAATATAACGAGATAACATGTGAGTACTTAGGTATAACAAGAGTATCTAAAAGTACGAAAACAGTAATTAACCGGTATTCCGACGCCAAAACAGCTACGAAACGGTCAACTTTCAACTGAAATAATAGTTTAAACAAAAGTGAGTTTTATTAACTTTTATTTAATAACTTTTTTGGATTGTGGTCATCTAAATTATTTGTTTTTGTATTTAGATAACATTCTTGGCCAGATTTCTTGTGCAAATGGGCAACTCACGTAAGTTGGTCCAATAATGGAACTGTTGATTAATGTGTAATATTAAGAATAGTGTGTGTAAAATGAGTGTAATTAATCGAAACGTAAAAATATAGTATTGTCCCAAAAATACCGAGTTAATTAATGACTGACATCGAGTGATCCCTTGATATCAGACCAATTAAGACATGTAGTGTAGAGGTAAATATTTCAATGATAGCATAGCGTGTCGTCCAAATGAGAAAAATCTTATGTGATTTTACTTTTTTTACCTGACTGTCAAAATTAGAGTTTGTTTGAGTCAAATAGTTTTCTGTTGTGGATTCCTGTCTACTAAATAAGTAATCTTTTGTGCATTAAATTATATTAAATCTATATCCGTCTATTTTAGATAACATGCCGCCCCCACCTCCACCACATGGACCTCATCACGGGCCGCCCCATCATGGGCCACCGCATCAGGGGCCACCCTATGTTGGACCATTTCACCATGGCCCCCCACATCACGGTCCACCCCATCACGGGCCACCTCATCACCACGGACCTCACCATCACGGCCCACCGCATCACGGCCCACCGCATCACGGCCCGCCCCATCACGGACCACCCCATCAACATGGACCACACCATCATGGACCCCCTGGTCCACATGGACCACATTGGTAGGGATCGGATAGGTCCTAATAGATCCCGCCTATTCTTTTATGGAAATTTTAATCTTAAGTACATATAAATGGAAGTGATATTCCAATAAAGTCGTATCCTAGCTACGTATTGTGAAAGTTTTCTTTTTAATTACGTAAGTTAATCGCTGACTTCACGGTGAATTAAGATCCAAGGAATATAGATAAAAATGTTAATGTTGTTTTAAATTAAACTCGGAACAGTTGCTGTAGGTAATTTAATTAAAGGCCAGTTAAGATTCAACTATTAATTTATTCCAAGCAAGTCAGATGATCTGTTGAAGTATTTTATTATATTGATTTTAATAAAAATTGTCTACGTCTAGAGAATTATTTTGTTTTATTTCTCTTTCATTTTCCAGTTTTGATTAAGTATTACCAATAGCTGTTCTT